GGAATTTTCATATTTTCACTACCACATACAGATGTGGGGAGGGCAGCTTGTGGTAGAAAGAACAGGAGAGCCTATTTCAATATCATCACTCTCTAGAAGAGCAGGGGGACTAACATTTATAGGCATTAGGCTACCTTATGTGCAGTGACTCATTTAATTTCCCAGTTAATACAAGATGAGTATTATCATTTCTCCTTTGCTCTATCCCATTACCCACCTTCAATTACACGACCTGGCTTCCTTCATTAACATTATCTGGGATGATCTTGTTCACCAATCTGTCTCCTCCCGCCCTATTTCATGCCTTCCTCAGTATTTCAATAAAAATCCATGGGAACAGGGATATTATTTCTCAACCCTATCCTCAATGCCTAAGAGGCAGTCAGTTAATATTTGCTGAGGAAATCTATTCTAGTGTTTCTTAAATCAAGGATGCATGCATACTAATCTCTTCCCATCCATGTGTAGTTCCTAAAATCTCCCCAGATTAGTCTGTTGAAGATTTCTGGTTTTGAAACCTCACACTTAGTCCAACTCTCCCACCTGGCAGATGGGGAGACAAGTCTACTCTCAGCCCTGGCAGCTTTCACATCCTTGGGGCCTTTAAACATGAGCTACAGTTGCCCAGACATGCCCTCTCCCTGCCTCAACTCACTTTCAACTTCATTATATTTGAATCCCAACTCTAAGCAGATATAGATTCTGCCTGGAGATCCCTAAAGCCATATCCAATCCCTCCAAAATTGATGTTGGTACTAGTTCTCGCTGTTCTTAAGAATTTGATGTCTCCTATAAACTTTGCCTACAAAGCATTGTATCATTAAACATTTTAGGATCGGTATTGTTAAATCAAACTCCTCAAATCCCTCTACTTCCTAAAGTAGCGCAAACAGAAAAGCAAGAGAAATATATGAAGCTGAAAGCTTAACCCTGGGCTGTGTTTTCATAAATACAAACAAAACCTCCAAAGGTAGAAAAAAACACATTCTATTTTTTTTTTTTTTTTTTTACTTAATAATATGCTAACTTCTGATCAACAAGTGCTTCCCACACTGGGAATAAATCCATTCACTATTGCTTTAAGGGATAAATTAAGTCTGCAACCAAAATGTGAACTAGGGGAAGTATGGTGTGTTAGACACTAGAAACAACACAGCACACAAAACTCACAACACGTACAACCACGTGCACCACGGCCTCGGTGGCATCTGGCCATCCCTTGTTTAGAAGACCAAGTTTAATATGAATTACTTGAACATGGATTTTGTAGTGCTGCATTTTTCAGTGAATTGTGGGGGATAGGGAGAGCTCAACCCAAGATGTTTGAGTTGCAAAAATATCTGCTCTCTGATTTAAAATTTTAAAGTAACCTTTGTTACAAATTCCCATATAATTGTTCCGTATCCAAATTAAACCTGCCACATTCTCTATCCCCAGCATCACTGATTGAATCAAGCTGAGATGAACATTCCTTTCCTCTCCCCTTCATTTATTCTGTCCATTTTTCAGGGTATATTGAACATCCCTGCAATTCACAATAGACATGTCACAATAACTGCAGAGAAAACATAGGCTTTCATAAACCACCAAAGCGTGTTCTTGATTCAGAATTCCCAGAGGGCCTAGATCTTCAAAGCAGATTTATTCTCCACATATAAACCTCATTTGTACATACTTAATTGTGATCTCATTCTCTATTTAAAAAAAATGTTTCATTGGCTCTGATTTCCTTCTGACGTTTCTATCCCATTTTATTAACATTCTTGGTCTCTGCTTTGCAGCCTTCATGGATGTCCAAACTAGAAAAGTGCTTTCGTATACTTCCGGGATGGGGTGGGAATAAAACTCTTTTTCAGTCCTGAAACTCCTCAGATTTAAGGAAGGAAATAAAAACTTCCAAGAAGGGTAACTGAATGTATTGCCCAGCTTGCCTTGTGCTCTTGGGTTTAATTGTCCAAATTGTACATAATTATTTAGAACAGTACTTATATAAAGCCATGCCAATGAAACTAACTCTGCCAAATTTATCATATGTTGCTACAGGCTGAGGCACTGGCACCATCTCAAAGAAACCCACATGTGCTAATAGGAACTAGGAATTTTTGTAATTTTTATTGTGCCTTTTGGGGAAACATCCTTTCTAATAAAAGATACATCATCATTTCTCAATTTTAAAAAAATATTCTAGAGAAGAATTAAACTTTTCCCTCTTATCTGTGTGGGGAACCAACTACCAGTCAAATAGTTGAATCTTAAGAATGAGAGGAATAAAACAGTGTAACTGGTGAGCCAGAGTCCCAAGACAGAATGTTATTGTTTCCGCTTAGTGTGAAATGTATTCCAGCACTGTTTATAATTTGTTAAGCGAGTTTTAAAGTATTGGGGTAGTGAGCTGAATAGATGGAAATATTTTTAAATAAAAATAAACTGAAAACACAGCATTTCTTGAACTCTGATGACTAACCCTTATTATAAGTAGCAGATATAGTTATTTTTTAAGTTTTATAAATTTTGAAGTCATCTTTCTAAGTTGCAAAAAGAAGTATAACTTTGTTTTACTGTTTAGCTTTGGTTATCTGATTGAGTACTCTATAGATTACAGGAAAAGCATCTATTACTATTTTATTGTTAATAGATAAAAGTATCTCTTACATAAAAAGCACTTTAAAAAATCTTAAATTTGTTATATCCAAATATGCATTACTAGTACAAAGATAAGGGCTTCTATTTAATGAACACTTATTATGTTCCAGGCATTTCACTTAGGGAATGACTCCCAATAGGTATAATTATGAACAATTTATGAAACAGGCAACCAGAAGTCAAAGATACTTGGTGATTTGGTCAAGGCCAGAGTTATGATCTGAATCTGGGCTTCTAAGATTCTCAAGTTATTTCTCCTCTATCTCGCCTCTTTCTAAGGAAAAGAAAAGATCAATTAGTGTCTACCTGATTGTATGGGCCCTAAATAAAATCACCAGAGCTAAAAGTCAACTCAGAGAAAAAAAACTGATTTTTACCCAATAAGTAACTAAAAAAGAATGTGCAATACTTCAAAGGCCTTTAAGAAATGGTCATAATTTAAAATTCATTAGAGGTATATGAATTTAGAGATAAAACTTGTAGAACAAAGGGGAAAGTAAAACATGATGCATGAAGGGATTTAGGAAGGTTAAATAAAAAGATGAATTTGGCCTAATTCTATCCACTTTTCTTGGGGATTGAGGAGCATCATAAGGGTGTTTCCAGGGATCTATCTGCATATGAAGACCATAGAAATTCTGTGAGAGGGGCTCAAAAGACCAGTGGCTGAAAGCTTTAGTAGGCTTTAACATTTATGGGAGACCCCTCATCTGGTGAAGCTCCTTAACAGTTTTTAGCTAGAAGAGAAGAAGTGGCCCAACTCTCTGATCTTAGGTGGCACTGGTGGCATGTGATCCACACGCCAGATGTAGAAAGGGGAGAAGCATTAGGGCACATCTACTTCTTAAGACCTATCAGGTCTGTTCTATAATCTGACAGGGCAGAACCTGCTATCACCTGTATTTGATTCAAACTGTTCTCTAAAAATGTTCTGCTGAGGCAAGAACACCCACCATCCCAGAGCAACTAAAGGGATGGAGATTTTAGATATTCAAACTAGAGAATTAGATTCTCTTAGTAGCACAGAATCAGGTATCCCCCAGGTAGAAGACACTGAAGAAACCATCCCAGTGGCAGAAAGGAGAGACCCCAACCTCCAGTGACCTCAGAACAGGATAAAGGCAGAAGGCTGTGTTTTCTCTCCCAGTTGATAGTAAGGATCACTACTATCAAAATTAATCAATAGACATTTTGATTGGCCAGACTTGAATTATTTTAAGAAAAATAAGTGTTCCAGCTGAGAAAATTAGGAGTGATCACTGGCTCACTGTGCAAGAGTCTCAACTCTAGATATTAATTTATGTTCCAAAGATAATCAGCTACATATTCTTTATCTCCCATCAGCCTGAGTAGCTTTCAAAAAGGACAGAACAGTTGTGATACCTCAGAGGTAGGAAGCATAGTGAAAAATCCCCAAATGTGTTAATTCACTCTCCTCTGGCTTCTCTGGCTTGATGACCAAGGCCTCAATTTTGTCCTCTCTTCTACACCTCAGTGCTGAGCTCAGCTCTGCTCCCACACACCCCACCCAAATGATCCAGGGGCAACTTCACATTTGCATTATCATCATCAGGTTCTTCAGCCTAACTATACCAAAGCTCACTTTGCAAATGTCCCAGTGCAACCTATGCATGATGCAAAATTTATTTCTTAATCTAAAGCTCAGATCACCACAATTTTTTACATTAAAATATCCACATTCATTTTGAAACCCTGGCAAAGAATCAAAGCACCATTCCAACTAAGCTGCCTGAATAGTGCAGGTCTCTGTGACATTGAAAAGCAAGAGCAACTTTCTTCATTTTCCATCAGCACAAAGCATAGCAATTTCCACCAACTGAGTACTGTGAATTTAAAGCCAGCCATCTATAAATATTTTAAAATCTGATTCTGTTTCATTGTAAGAACTTAACCCCTGGCCCCCAAAAGCCACACAGTATTTGACAGACAAGGTAAAGATTAAGTAGCTTGCAGTTTTCCTCACAAGAAAACAAAATGGAAAAAAAAAAAAAAAAAATCAAACACCAAGCACTTTAACGTAGCATTTTATGCACCTTGCCACGAGAGAAACAAGCTGAAAGGCTAAATGTCATTCCCCTATCAGGCTACACTGTTTCTTTTAACAGAACTAGAAAAAGGAGGGATGGGGGCACCCAGGTGGCTCAGTTGTTAAGCGGCTGCCTTCAGCTCAGGTCATGATCCCAGAGTCCCGGGATCAAGTCCCATATCGAGCTCCCTGCTCAGCAGGAAGCCTGCTTCTCCCTCTCCCACTCCCCCTGCTTGTGTTCCTGCTCTCGCTGTCTCTGTCTCTGTCAAATAAATAAATAAAATCTTTAAAAAAAAAAAAGAAGAGGGGCTGGTAGCTCTGGCGGCAACCATGGCGTATAACGGCCTCACGGTGCCTCTCATCGTAATGAGCGTGTTCTGGGGCTTCGTCGGCTTCTGCGTGCCCTGGTTCATTCCTAAGGGTCCCAACCGGGGAGTTATCATCACCATGCTGGTAACCTGTTCAGTTTGCTGCTATCTCTTTTGGCTGATTGCAATTCTGGCCCAACTCAACCCTCTCTTTGGACCACAGTTGAAAAATGAAACCATCTGGTACCTCAAGTATCATTGGCCTTAAGGAGGAAGACCTGCTCTCCAGTGCGCCATCATTGAGGTCACGAAGAGAATTCCTCTAGATGCAAAATCAACTCCAAACCCAGACCACCTTCTTTGACTCGCCTCTTTTGGCCGTCAGCTGCCTTAAATATTCACACCATGTTTGAATATCTTATTCTACAATGCAGTATTTTTCCTGTCACCTTTTTTACGTTTTGACGAATTATGTGCCTACTTAACCTAAACTGTGCTGACTCTGTAAAGTGTTTATGCACTCTTCTGAGATAGAAGGTGCTATTCTTCTGAGAAATACATTGCTCTCTCCTTGGAACCTGTGAATTTGAAGATGACTCCTGCCTGGTCACAACATGGGAATCAGCAAAGTGTTTAACTGTCACAAGACAGAATCCAGTGGGGCAATCAATCAGTAGGAGAGCATGTTCAGAGGGGCTGTCGGTCCCAACAGAATTGCACCAAAGTATATTTTCAGGATGACTTTCTTATTTCTTATTTCTTATTTCTTATTTCTTATTTCTGCCATCTACTGGAATAAATTATTTTTCTCTGTGGAAAAAAAAAAAAAGAAAAGAAAAGAAAAAGGAGGGATGATTATTTGTGTGTGAATATGACTGAAGAGGCTAATTTGTAACCTGCTCACATTTCCTTACACTTCACATGCACAGATGAGCACACCATCCAAGGAGGTCAAGACAGAATCCAGTACTGATCTGGTTCTCTGGTGTAGACCTGGTGACACCAAAAGTCTTAATGGGACCAGTCACCTGACAGCTTACAGCTACTTTGGTCTGCTTTTGTTTGATCTGGGGCTTGGAATTATGTTGCTGCCTCCAGGCTCAGTCCCAGGGTTCTTGTTCTAGTTTTAAGCTCTCTTATAATGAATGAATCATTGAGCAGGATATTACCTAAATAACAAAAATTCAGAACCAGCTTCCAGCTCCATGTTGCCAATTGCTATCTTTGTTGACTGCTTTACCAGTTACTCAGAAAAACACACATGTAAGCAGATAGATAATACTACTTTTCACATACCAAAATGACAAATTTTAAAAAATAATTAGAGTTGACAATGATACGGTAAGCATGCAATATTAATTAGCACAACTTTTCAGATTGAAATTTGGCAAAAATCTTATGCCCTTTTGATCCCGTAATTCCATTACTAGGAATTTATCCTAATGAAATAATTAGTGCTGCAGATAATAACATACAAAGAAGAAAGATCCTCATGAAGCTGTGTATAATAGTGAAACACCACAAACCACCTCAACATCAGGCATTAGATAAAGAAATTATTGTATTTATATGCTAAGCTAATATTCAGCCTTTAAAATCAAGAAAATTGAGGGTAGGATTACTCTCATTATAAAACATTAATGTTATTTGTATGCAGCATTATATTGCGGGAGCTCAAAATGTGCCACCCCAAAATATGCCTCTTTGACATAAGGATTATCCTCAGTTTATTCTTTTGAGAAACAACAGACACAAGGAAGCTCTGAAAACAGCATATAAGTGACCCTTTTGTAAGAGAAATTTACATTCGTAAAGGAAGTCTCCACTTGTGTCTCCCTCTCTGTACCAAGAAGGAAAGGATGACTCTAAATCAAAAAGACTCTGATCAATGAAGAAGGAGCAACTCAAATCTGCGTAGCAAACCTTATTCTTGTTAAAGCACTTTTCCCAGTCACCTTCCCATAACCTGACTCCCCACACCCTTTCCTCCTTTGTATAGGTGAAGGTGGTATTTATGCCCAAATTCCAGACACCTCTTTCGAGTTACTCATCTCTGAGATTCTCCCTTGTGTATACAATATACATGTTAATAAACTCGTTGGTTTTCTCTTATTAATCTGTTTTTTGTTAGAGGGTCCACAGCTCAGAACCTAGAAGAGTAGAACAAAAACATTTCTTTTCCTTCTCTACTACATAAAATTAAGTAAAATGAAGTTTGGTTGCCCTCCAGCTTATTAACAAGACATTCATTTTCTTATAAAGCTCCACAGGATGTGATTTCCTGAGCAGTCAAGATTTTAGGTCAACTTCAAAAAAAGACAAAAACAATGGAGTATTATTAGGGTAATATTTTGAAACTGGCCATAGGTTCCTCCCTCAGTTTCAAGTGACTTTTAATAACTGATTATCGGCTACTGGGGCTCCAGTTTTGCCCAGGCCTTGTGATTTAACCCAAACTGGAGTTCACAATGCTGAATGAAGGTGGAAGAGTGTACTGTAGTTAAATTGGGCCCCAATCCCAGTATATGGCTTCCATTAGAAGTTGGCAACATACCTGGCTCTCAAAAAAATTCCAGTTATTTTTTTCTAATCATGACCCCAAGTTATATCATACTCAATTTTTATCAAGAATTGCTTCCAAAATTAGTAGCTAGAACTCATTAAGCTCGCTTCGTATCCTAAATTACATTCAAAGTATCCCAAATGGTTGTATTGAAACCCACGTTCCCTTTGTACCAAAAAATCTCAGTATTAGACTTCACCGAATTCTACTTTGCAAAACACACTCCCAAAATACACGAACAAAGACATATGGAAAGCTCACGTAAAAGAATCCAAGCGGTCCAGATATATATGGCATTTTCATTCCCAGGAGATACTTGACTTGTGAAGTCACGACGTGGGTGGCCGCCCCGGTTGTCATTGCACTGATCACGGGCTCCGTAAGCAGGAATGTGGCCCTGCCCAGCTGCAGTGCAAACATGGCCACCTAAGAGGACAAAGGAGAATGACGTTTCCCAGGGTTCCTAGAGAAATTAATGTCTGACACATTTTCATTTCCATTCCATACAGACCTAAAGAACTGACGCAAGATGAGATTCTTAAGTCTTATATATTTAATATCTTGAGTTTTTGTGAAAACATAACTAGGTTCCAAGACTTTCCAAATGTTCTTGAGTACAGTGTAATTGCTCCAGTGAAAAGGAGCACATTTCCCACCCCCTGAAAATTGACTTCTTTTTTTCTCTTTTCCTAATCACGTAAGTCACAAAAAGGGGAAATATGCTCAAATCAGTTCATATATGGGGTTCTATGGAGAAAAGTAAAGTTACCTGATCATATTTTAATTTTAAAAATCTCAGAAGGACATGATTCACTAGTCTACACTTAAAACCTCAAAAGCCACTTCTTGAGTTTCTCCCGGCTTCTGAGAAATGGAAACCCTTTTGTGACTAGAAACTGTCAAGTAGCTCTAAATGACCAATACTAATAAGAACATATGAGGACTTATTTGTATGTGGAGAAGAGCAAAAGACAGAGATACATTAAAGGGATATGAATTCAGAAACCCAGGAATCAGTCGAAAACTTATTTTCCTTAAAGAGTCCCTTGCTACTCATAGCATCGTGCTCCATGGCAAAACCATGTCATGACCAGACAAAATGATCAAGTCTGAGTAGAAGCTATGCATTGAGTTCTGCTGGGCAAAAGATGACCAGAAGAATCAAAACTCTGCTCTCACTATTAACATAGCAGTGGTTAGTGTCCTTCCTTTGCCAGAGAGAGAGCTTTCAGAAGATGGCCCACCCTTTCCCTGAATACAACTGTGTGAACTCAGAGAAACTGCAAAACATAAAATTCAGTGTTTTGAAAGTAACATTAAATTACTTTCATGAGTATCCCCACACTGGAAAAGGGACACAAAGTGGGTCATGTTGATAGGGCCTCTCAATGTGTTAATTATAATATTTAGGTCAGGTCTTAAAATTCCTGCTGGAAAATATGATTAATTATTAAAAATCAGAGGAAAGAATAGCAATGAGATCTCATTCTATGAAGAGTTCACAGTGATGAGAAAGGGAAGTATAAAGTGCTGATAACCCTAAAGCATAAATTGAAAAATATATCACTGCTATTATATTGCAAGGCCCTTTGACCAAAAGCGATCATGCTCTGAACTTGCACCAGAGTAGAGTTTCCTGGACTCAAATCTGAAAACCTAAGTCCTAATCTGGCTCCTAGCCTGACATCCTAGCTGTGTGACTGTAGAAGATCTACTGAAATTTTCTGAGCCTCCTTATCATCTATAAATCATTACAGTGAAGTCTATGCTGTCTTGTAGAATCATTATAAAATGAATATGAAATAATATAAGAAAGGGCTTCAAAACTTGCAAAATGTGCAACATATGTGATGCACCAGGAGAATCATGAGGTGCCATGCATGTTTCCCCAGTATGAAAAACCAGCCACAGTTTTGAAAATGTACAAGGGACCACACCACCTTTTCCATCTCTGGGAAACTTGAGAGAATTTATCAGTGCAGAAAGAAATGTATTCAAATTGATTGCAGTTTAGCAGCCCCCTTTTATTCAATATGCAATTAAAAAATAATATGGATCGCCAACACAGAAATCAGGCAGTCTGTTTCTGCCAACATAGGAGGCCAGAGCAGCAGCTTCTGCTACTAACATTTCCTTTTCAGAAACTGTGTGTTTGTCAAAGTAGAATTGTCCTGAGGGAAATATGAAATCAATGGTATAGGCACAAATGGAACACACTGATCTTGGCAACTCTTGATTCATAGTCTGTTGATTTTCATCCTGAAAACACAATCAGTTAAGAAAAACATTGAACCAATTTCCCCCAAGCATCTATCTACTAGTAAGTAAATTCCAACTTAGGACATTAACTCTTACAGGCCCTAAGGATAAAATTAGCATATTATTGGGGTAAGATGAAGACCAGAGAGATAGATTTTCAGTTCAACTAAATGCAGTTTACAAGCAATCCAAATCTTGGAAATTGTGAAACCTGTTTGCATATATGGAATTTTATGCATACGTGGAATGTTGGAAAGTTCTTATCTGGATGCCAAGAAATCTTCATTTATTTTGAGAAGCAAACTCTTTTGGGAGCCCTTGTATAAACCATCACCACTTTACCTTCTGCTTATTATTTGTTTCCTAAATTCTAGCACCTTTTTAGAAGAGTTAATGATTTTTCATGGCTAAGAAACAAAGTCACTTTACCTGAAGTCATTCATCAA